TATATATACAGTATATATAATTCACAAAAAAACATCAGATACATGGAAAAACATGGTTACATCTGTCAATCTCTGACTGCTATACAAAATGCCACATATGTATGAAACTATAAAATGGTCTATTAAACATATGAACAGAATACACATACAGTACAGTATCATATCAACATGCCAGATTTAGTCATTCAGTAATTACTTTCTGAAAGTCTCATTAAAATCCATCCACTGAGTAATTAAATATTTTCCTAACATGGCAAAAAAGGCTTACAAAAACTTTCAACACAATCTGTTAGTCTTAATGAAACTTTTACCGGTTGATGACATCAGATGTGATGTGCTGAACAACACACGTCATCGCCACAGTGACATCAGAAACCAGCACCAAACCACTGCGGATCTGAAAAGTAGCCGATGGCTCGTTGGTAAGTCGGCAAGACATTAAGTGTACAGACAGTGTTCAAACAAAAACAAACAAAAAAAAAATCAAAGTTTTACCTCATTCTGCACCATTTTCTCCACCAGAGAGATAATTCCAGAGAGATCATGGTCATCTGAATTTTTGATACAATCATCCCTTTAAAATGAAAGAATTGGATTATTAAAAAGATCATGTCAAAGTAAATCTGATAATAAGAGTAAAGTTCACCTCAGTTTGTCGACATCCTGGTTGGTGCTGAGGAGTTTACATCCGTCAGGACAAGTTGCATCATCAGGAAGAACCGAAGCACAACGAACAGGAGGAGAGAAACGCTCAGGAGGTTCAGGCCAAATTTTCTCCTCTGAGCTTTTTTCTTCCTCTCCCAGTTCTGTCTTTGCTTCATCTTCTGCTACTTTAATACATTTGGTGCTAATTTCAGCAGGAGGCAGAGCGGCTGGAGAAGAGGAGACGATACAAAGACATAATTAACTGAAATCATGTGGAAACTTTAAATAAAGCGGGTTAGCTTCATGCTAATCCTACCTGCATGTTTGAGGCAGGACCAGTACTGCCTGTGAGCAGATCGGGAACACTGAAGAGACTCGAGTGAGCTGAAAGACAGCAGTAAAGCCCCCCGCAGTTATATGGGACACACAGACGGTACCGTTTGACTGACTGTGACACATACCTTCTGCAGGGACAGCTGAGATCAGCCAGCTGAGGCAGAGGATCTCCCAGTAACGTGTGAACTGTCTGACACACAGACTGAGCGAGGGAAGTCAAGTTGTACCCTCCCTGGAAAACATTCAAACAACAACATGTCACTCAAACGTGACGGGCCAAACAAAAAGACTTTTCCCAGGCAGCCAGGTCTGAGAGGCATGTGTGGAACCACGTCTGTTATTTCCACAAGAGCAGAACTGATGGTGCTTCAGAGGGCTGAGAGTGACACACAGGTAAACTCTACCCGGGTCGACCTGCTGATGTCAGCATCTTTGCACCTGGTGGCCCCACCCACTTTCAGCTCTTAGACTTAGGATTTACTGGACCGAGGTTATGAGTGAGTTGAGCACAGCCAGTTCAGCATTTTGATTGGCCAAAACTTTTTAGCTGCTGACAGAATTTAGACAGAGCTAGACCAAATGGACTCAATTTACAAGTGAATAAAATGTGTGTATGTATGTATGTATGTATGTATGTATGTATGTATGTATGTATGTATGTATGTATGTATGTACAC